CAGTTATCATCTATGCGAGTGAACCTGATCAGTGATCACCGTTCACCCTTGTGGCTGGACCTAGTCTTGTCGCCTATTCTTTTGAATTCTTTCAAAGACATCCTGAGTTTCTCCGATCCGATCGGGATGCCGCAGAGATATCCATGGAGTTAGTTTTTGAGGAGACTTGTTCAAACATTCGAGAGGACCGCGCTGATTCTTCGAGTGCGCGAATGGAGGCGGCCGGATCAAAGAGCATTCGACCGCCTATTCTCCGAGGAGCTCATTTTAAGGACTTGGGTTTCCGTGCGAAATCGGCAACCTAGTCACCACCTGCGACTTATTCAATCCTCTCAGCGGACACGTCCCTCGGAATGTGATTTGAGGATTCTCTTTCGGAAAGAACTTCGGGGAATTCTTCCCGCGATTTCTTTTCATTGAGGAACTCTCGGGACATCTCCGGACTACATGAGCCTTCTCACCCGCGTGCACCTCATCTGCCGAGGGGCTCGATCATGGCCGTATCGGAGAACCACCAAGCCTACGCTCTAGTGGGAAAGATGAATGATTGGGACATATTTGGTTGGTGGTCTTTGGTTGACCGCTGCTCCGAGCGGTTCCGCGGGCGAAACCCGAGTTTTCTGCTTCGACGTCTTGGTACCTGAGCGGCGCTGAGTACAAGCGCGACGAGTTCTCGGGACAGTACCGCACGAAGTGCCAGGAAAGGAACCAGCCGTGGAATCCCGGTTCTGTTGCCGTGAGGAGTCTCCTCGTAACTCCGAATAATTTTTCTTGGCTAGAGCACGCGCTCCTGTTGAGTCATACGTATTCCATGTAACTTCCCGGAATGGTTTGTAGAAGAGACATAATTCTCGGTCCAGATCCCCTGAGTTTTTTCCAGGGACGAATCGGTATGCTCCAACACCGACTTTCACTGATTGAGAGTCTCCGTATCGAAATCGCTCGAGTCGAGCGATTACCATCCTCGTCGGTGCAATACTCGGCGAGTGAACGAAAGCAAACTTCAAGTGCATGACGGGAGGAGAATGAGCCGAGTGGAGCTCGCTGCTTGCTCGGTCGGTGTGAGAGCAGACCGAAATACGAGAGTGCTCTCCTTCCTCTTTCTATTAACGAATGAGCGTTCGTGCGAGCTCAAACAGTGCTCGTCGTATGTATGAGGAGCGCTGAAGGTCATATATTAGCAGGGAAAGTTTTCTCCCCGCCACCGCCACCCGTCGTTGTCCTCATCGCCATCAAAGCCGCACAGGTCAGCCGCCGAAAGCCGACAGTCGGACCGAGACGGGGAGAAGAATCGTGCAAGCGGCATCCTCCGCCTCGTCGTCGTCGCCGTCGTGTAGTTGTCAACGGCGTTGTCGTTGCTGTCGTTTAGCCGGTCGGTCGGTCATAATTAATCCACGAGGCATTCAAGCCATGCTGAACAAATGAATACAGCTCGCAGACAGCATACGACATGCAGGCGAGGAGCATACACTTCTTTTCGACTGTCACGCGTAAATTCGGCCAGAGCGCCTCCCGTCTCCGAACACGCGAATACTGCGTTGTCTGCTTCCCTTCTCTTTATTCCCTTCGGTCCGTGAACTTCATCGCACTTTTCCGCCCACCCGTCCCACGCCGGCCAGTCAGCCAGACCGACGGATCTTCTATTTCCGAACTCAGCATGCCCGGACGCAGCATGTCCGCCCAAATCGGCCGACTGCGATCGACTGCGCTCGCTAGCCGGAGAGTGCAACTCGCTTTCCTGAATCGTTGGATCCTTTGCCACTCGATTCTCTACAGACACCGAGTCCGGCATCGACCTTGGGGTTCTCGGATATAAAATGAGAAGGTCGAGAGGAGAAATAGGTCCAGACGCACATCGGGTTCTTCGAAAATTCCGCCGATCGGATAGCACATCGAATGTGAATGCGTTATCCAATTCAGTTAAACTCTATTATAACGGATTTGGATATAAGAAACTGATTCCCTGGTCCCGGTCCTATCTTGTCCCATTATTCAACTAATAATTATTCAACAGGAACGGACATCTTCTTCCGAGGCGGAAACTCCTCAAATGGTCTCGGATAAAAGGGCATTTTTTGCCGATCCCTCGGATTCCGTTATAACGTGGTTCTACCGTTATAATTGCGGCCGGGTACAAGGACTCCGCTCCTCAGAGTTGACAGAAAACGAGACACGGGAATCGTGAACATAGGATCAGGAAACCTTTGGACCCGTCGGGCGCGAATCAGGTGGAATCTGCGCCGGTGGGATCGCATATGTAGTTGAGTCTCAGAGCAAGTTTCGTTCCGCAGAATTCTCCGCACCGAAATTTCGGAATTCCGGTGAGTTGCAGGAATCTTCCATTTCGTCGACGAAGTCTGTTATGTTGAAGGGGATCTTCACATCCCTCATCAATAAATGCTCCCTTCTAATGAACGTCGTGAAGCTTTCTCCCGGCAGCCGCTTTCGACGATGAAATTCGGCCGGAGACTTTCTTTTCCCCTTCGGGAAACGGGAGTAGAATTGGGTTTTGAAAGTCGTCCAGTCGACATGGGGTCCGACTTCAGCGGCGAACCAGGTCTTCGTGTCTTCGTCCATACCGCGATAAGCTAGACGGAGGACCTTCTGTTCCGTCCAACCATTGACCGTCGCGTCCATTTCTAGTCGCTTGATCCATCTTTCAGGTTGTTCCGGATCCAAGTGCGGGATGTCACTTACGGGGATAAGGTTCTCCAACATGGTAGATAAACTTTCTACCGTAACCACGCTCGGTCCGACTATTGGAGTAATCGGAGTCGGGACTCCTGTTGGGACTGTTGAATTATCTCCGTCGCCTTCCATCCTACCGCTGCCACCAATTTGTGACGGAACAACGAAGGTTGATAGCAAAGATTCTTTATTCCTACACCTAGCAGCCTTTTATGGAGATTCAGCAGGGGAATAATCCCGCGCCACTAGCGCCGTTTCAGTATGAAAATGTCGATTCCGGAATGCTCCTCATATATAATTCGGCATGAGAGTCGTTCGTTCTGCGAAACCCCACTGTGATCTGGAGAAAATTTCAATTTCAGTAAGGTTCTCCGCTCGGATCCGCAAGGTCAGCCTCTTACGAATTACACGAGGGCTGAATTAGCTGTCTGGATTTCGTTGATCTCGAAGAAGCGGAGGGGGGACTCGTCGAGTTCCTCCTTACGTAGTTTCGACGGCAACATAGCAGACAGACTCCATGGTCAGAATACGGACTCATCGAGAAGAAGCCCATTATGAGGATAAACGGTCGTTGCCTCCTGAAGAAAAGAGGGCCGAGAGTTTCCCGCTCTAAAATGAATAAGCTCTCCGGGAGACTAGATACCCTCGGGGAGGAAACTTTCTCTCGGGGGAACTCGTCGACGCTGCCTTTTCCCCTCGGAAATTGACCTCGATCTTTTTAGCGATCCTCTGACTCAGATCACTCAGCGATCATAATGGATACATTTCCCGCGAAATCAATCCTTTCAAAAGCTTCGAGGAAGGCAGACAATTTATCGATCAGACGAGAGTCGAGGCTGTGACAGTACGGAAATTCTGTTCACTCGATGGCGATGAACCGTTGTATCTGCCTTGAGCCGATGCATCGCTCCATACGCCGTCAGAGCGGGGGGTTTCCTGCTTTGGTAGATCCGCGTCGTAAGCCATTAGGAGCCCAGATCGTTCTCGGTTTCTTCCAGCTCCGACTGCGTAAGCTCCTAACGCTTCGTAGTCATACCGCAGTCGTGAATGGATCTAGCATCAATCCGTCAGCGAAAATGGGGCAGACGTCAGTATTGAGCCGAGTAACATGAGCGGCGGGGTTTGTTTGTTCGATGCTGATATCCGAGAAAGCTGCATCTCGTCGAATTCACATCACGTGAAGCTCGTAGATTCCTTAGCGTTACGCGAAGCAGCGTAGGACGGGAGAAAATGCATGGCAACGCGTCGAAGCGACAGCACCCATGAACCGCGGTTCGGGAGGAGACGAACGCCCGAGACACTGCGAGTAAGCCGCGTCGATGGTTTTTGTGGACCTACGCACAGGACTCCTCGGTGATCTGCATGGTTCATTGATATCCATGCTATTACATCGACATGGCTAGTTTAAGGATAATTGGTCACTGATGATAAATACTCCATTACAAGTCCAGAAGACCAATGGCGGGAAAACTTCTCTCTGATAAATTAGAGCCCTGGCGGTTCCGGTACTCATGGATGCTCATGGAAACACGAGAGAACGCCCTTCTCCACCCCCTCACTACGCCGTTGCTCCCGGCTGTTGTTGGGGGAACTGGTAATGCTCGCCATCTGGGCCAATCTGCCGAAACTTCACGCTGAATGATCGGGAGTTTTTTGCGGAACCCAATTTTCGCGCCAGGAATTTCAAAGCTTCTATCTATGGGGATCATGCGAGCAGTGGCGTCCGCGGAGTTGCTCTTGGGGCAGGGCTGGGTGGGGGCTATAGCCCCCTCATCCCTCCCTGCGGATGCGTCTGCATGCGAGCCCAATTGTTACAGAACTATGATGAAGTACCCAGACGGAAACTACCGCGCGTAGTACAATTCTATCGATCACTCGGTTTGGATGCATTCATTCAACGTTTATTGGGTATTCTGTTTCTCATTCGAAGTTTGCTCGAAATCTATTGTACATAGGACTCCTTAGGGAGCTCGACGAGCGGCCACGTTCAGACAGTGCTGCGGGATACACAATGGTTTCAAGTCTCCTGCAGCCTGCAATCACAGGTCGCTCCGTTTAAGGCAGACTTGGAGCTAATCCAGATTCCCTAGCGTTCGGAGTCAGATCCTGTTCGGGTACTATTACAGTACATAAAGCGCTCTATCCGTGGACCGTTCTCCTCCCAGAGATTCTAAGGCGTGCTCTATCAAACCAAAATGCAGGGAACCACGCTCTTGGTATGCAATTCCACTTAAGCGATATGACCAAATCGGAGACAGATATTCGGATTCGACAAAATGAATCCCGAGACAAAGAGATCTGACACAGTCTTTTCAGCCCACTGAGAAGTTTGTGAACTGCGCCGTGGCCACCGCTTGCAGCTGCTCGTCGTGCACCTGCATCAGCTGTGGCCCCGTCGTGACGAGCGTTGCAGAATGAGGCATCAGTTGAATCATTTGAGGAGCGATCTGTATTGGCATATGAGTAACGATATGTCCTGTGGTGACCGCTATGGGCTGTGCATGAACGGCCATCGACTGAGGTTGCGGCTGAGGCGTCGGTGGGGTCTGCAGCTGTTGTTGCATGTGTGACGTGAGAGACATCTGTATCTGTTGGCCCGGCAGCTGCTGAGACTGCTCAACCTGCTGCTCGACACCTGCCGCGTTGGACATGTCCGCGACCCCCGCCACTTGATCGGTGGCCGAGAGGTCTTGATCGGATTTATTCACGCAATTGTGTTTACGCCGTTCGGCGTTCCTTTTGAATGCCATACCGCACTGGTCACAGAGGTATGGCTTCTCATTTGTGTGGGTCTTTCGGTGTTCTACAAGCGTTGACTTCACTTTGAACGCTTTGTCGCAGAGATCGCATTTGTGAGGCCGCTCGTCACTATGTGTCTTCATGTGGCGCTTCAGCACACTTCTCAGCTTGAAGCCGACTCCGCAGATTTCGCAAACGAAAGATTTCTTCGAGGAATGCAGAAGTGCTTTATGATCGTTGAGAATGTGTTTCATCTTGAAACCCTTCCCGCATTCATCGCACATGTACTGCTCGTCGGAATGAGCGATTTTCTTATGGAGCACCAGGCGCGGTTTGATGGGGAAACCCGCGTTGCAAATGTCGCAGAACCATTCTTTTTCGCCCGAATGGAGTTTCATGTGGTTTCTGAACGTGTGATTCGAACCGAAATACCGGTCGCAGGTCTGGCAATACAACTTCACCCGACGCTCGTGGACCTTCACATGGGAATCGAGGTGAACTTTGGTCAGACAACCCTTGCCGCAGAAATCGCATACAAAGGGCTTCAGGCTCGAATGGACGAACATGTGGGTTCGGAGCTTCTCCGCATCTTTGAAAGACCTCGTGCACTGAGGACACTTGAACTCAGCGCCGAGATGCATCGCGTTCTTGTGATTCCAGAGCGAGACCTGAAACGCGAATTTCCGGTCGCACAAGTCGCAGGGTATCAGCTTGTCCGGGTGGTAAATTTTCACGTGGTGTATGAGTTTCCTCCGCTTGTCCGCGATGTACTTGCAGTGCTCGCAGCTGTTTTCGGACTCCTTGTTTCCATCGTTTCGACGGCCCTGGACGGGATATTTCGCAGAACTTCCTTTGGTTCCTTCGAGGGCAACTTCAGCCTCCTCTTCGTCTTCTTCTTCTTCGTCGTCTTCAACGTCGAGCTCTGCCCGATAATCCGCATCCCGGTCGTCGTCGAAGTTCTCTTCGATATCCTCGGGCAGCTCGGGGGTTATTCGCGACACGGCGGTCTTGTCCGTGAAGTCGATCTTCGATGACTGTCTCGTCTTCCGACCGGAGCTCATGTCTGCGACGATCTGAGCCTCTTCGGCTTCTCGCTCGGCTTTCTCTTTCTCCCGTTTCTCCTTGCGGAGCAGTTTGAGCCGCGCGGTCTTTTCCTTGGCCGGTTCTTTATCGATGTCGGCCACGGGCTTTGGACGTCGCGTCGTCCGCTTGAGACGCTGAGACTTCTCCACCTCAATGTTCCAGAGATCTCCGACGTTGTTCTCGTCTGAAATTCGAACAAGACACTAGTTGTGAATCCCATGGTGAAAGAGAGATCAGGCTCAACATTGCGCGAAATCAGTTTCGACTTTCCTGGCTGTCTGGGTCGTCCGAAACCGATATGGTCGACCTACCTTGGCGGGCATCCAGAACCTCTGGATTCTTGGAGGGATCGACTTCAACTTCTGTGACGGTCACATCACTATCCTTTATCTCGCCGTAGATGGGCTCTTTCCGAGTGCGTTTCTGCTTCAGGACTCTCGGTGCGGCTTCTGTACCCTGACGTTTCGTTTTCTTCGGTTTGATGAGTGTTTTTTCGTTGATGAAATCGCTCCCAAAAAGATCTCCCTCGCCGCTCGGCATATCGAGGTTCTGGGTCAGGTCGCAGTTTTTCTTGAGATTCTCCAGTATTCGATCCCTTCTCATGGAAACGATTCTTTCATTTAATAACACCAGCTGGCACAAAATATCGCCAACCTTCGGCTCCCAGTCAACGTTCTTCTCCTGCTGCTTGAGTGTCATGACCAAGTCGAGGACCGGAACGGAGAGTTTCCGCAGCTCGACCTGCAGACTCCTCAAAGCTCCATCGGTGCTCAACACGGTTTTCGCGATTTGTTTCTGTGCTTCGCTGGTGGATCTAGAGTTGTGCTTAATGGATTCTTCGAGCTGAATGTCTAATATCGGGCACGTAACGATTTCTTTCAAGGGTTCAGCTTGTGGGGCGAGTTGAGCTAAACGTCTTGCGGGTGTCAGGTGCTTCCTACAAAACTCGTCAAGAAGATCCTCTTCCGGCAAGATCTCCATGTCGGCCTCTCCGGGGTTCCTATCTCTCACGTTGATCGTGACAATCCGATCTCCGAGCCGTTCGCTCCTCACAACGGAATCGACGGCGCTCTCAACAACAGGTTGCACCTCATCGGCAACACCTGACGGTTGAATCAGGATTTGAGGACCGGAAGCTAAGTCCTGCGAAATTTTCCCCGCTCCCGCATCTTCGGCTTCTGGCAACAAAATCACAACGCCTTTTTGGGGGTTGCTCTCGAAAGTTTCCGTGCTCCCTAGGGAACTTTGGAGAACGCTGTTTTCGAGCTCCGATTTTACTTGACGGATATCGCTGAGTACTTCATCGTTGTCACGCTGATCGTAGACGGACTCGAAGTTGGTCGGTGGGAGAACGATGGTGTTAAACATGTTGCTTAGAGGTTGGAACTGAGATGTCTCGCTCGATGCGTCATGTTTCGGGTCGTCCATCCTCTCGTGGCCCTGTAGGAGAGAAGACAGAGTTCTAATTTGGTACACGGCTCTTCCACTGGATAGGTTCACAAAACCAGCCATTTCAATTCTTGCATGAGGTAACGAGTGTAGGAGGGACAATGAAGCGACTTAAAGATCTCAATCCATTCCATGATTTCGCTCGGTGATTCGCCTCGTGTGAAATCGGCTGGGGCTTTCCTTCGCAGCGTTCATGTAGAGATAAGTATCTGAAACTTTCCCGGGCGTTTTTCGCATCCATCGAGGATAAGTCAAAGAACCCTTCATGAGTTTGTGGAGAGAGTCATTCCAGCAAACCTCTTCCACATGAGAAACTCTGCTATCGTTGAGGTGTATCCATTGAGGACTCCGAAGAGGTTCCGACGAACTCGAGGGAACGCCGAGCTCCTCTTTTCCTTAGACTGGCGACTCTCACGGTCCGGGACGATCTCGACCAAAAATGTAAAGCTTCCGAAGACGAGCTGTGGGATCGCCGGCGGTTGTGTCAAAGAACCTTACGTATGCGTGAAGGGTTCTTACCAGGGGACGCTTCGCGTGCTGGCACTGGGAATTCAATCACGCTTCCCGGATACGGAGTCCGCGTGATCGTCGTACCGACTGCGGACGGTTTCGAGACGTCAACATTGGAACTTAGATTCAGTTCTAGGAAGCGAGCTCGCTTCCTTCATGATGTTTTCACTCATTCCGTTGAAGCCAAGCATTACAGAGCCCCTGTAGCAGACGACGCTTCAACAAAACACTGGACTCGGGAGGCGCGACCCACGCACTACTCCTCCGACATAGTCGATCGGTCGCTCAGAGAAAGGCCTTCCGTGTTCGAGATCGTCCTTTCCAGCTGAAGATCAGGTCCAGCGGGTCCGGGATGCGGTTTTGCTCGAGAAATTCCGCGAGGATTCGCGGCATCGGGCTTGGCTTATGCTGAGGAAGTACATAGTACAGGGCATACATTGTTCAAGAGCCTGCAGAGCTTCTTCCCGAGGTTTCCGACTATCGATCATTGAAGGAGCCTCCTTATGCTCATGGTGGACACCTGGGTGAAAAATAGGTGGGACTGTACGATACGAGTCACGCTGAGATGCTCTGCTACGGGTTGCCGCTCTTACATGTGAGCCTAGGCGCTCGAAGTTCTCTGTCGTCGCGCAAGCGGCTCTTCGGCCGAGAACGGCTCGCGCGAATCGGAATTTGTATTCGGAGCTACACTGAAGATGACACCATCCAATCGACCCATGGAATCAGGGAGTCCGAAAGTTCTGGAAACACATGGTAGCAATGCGGATCAGATATGCTCATGTAAGTCTGATTGATGTGTAACTTGTAATAATAAATCTCATGCGGATCATCGAGTGAACCTCTGAGATTCATGGAATCGATCCGGAAAGCCGGAATGCATCTGCGTTCCACGCTCGTAGAAGACATCGTAAGGATCCGGAGGTTAGGACTGAATAGTCGAAATCCTCATTTTGGGAAGCCTCAAGAATTTCCGCGGGCGAGTCGGTCCGGTGCTGATTCTGATCGTCGACTCTGACACTACCCCAGTGGCGTAGCGAAAAAGCTTCTCTTCGGGATTCGATGTGGTCTCCTTCATACATGTATCCGCACATGAGAGGCTCTCATTGTCGCTCCCTCTGGATTCCCTGAATCTGTCAGCAATGTCCGACGTCGATTCTTCGACTCGACTCCTGAATGAAACATGGGAACAGCGTGCCTAGGGATGCATCATCTCGAATCTTGCGGCGTTTAGGATCCGGGGAGCCTCAAATTTTAAAACTGCAGAGAATGAAACAATGATTTCTCTCGAGTTTATTGGAGTCTTCTCCTCGTTCTCTATGTGAACCCTCACGGTTCGATGGGTGTATACAGTTCCTCCGCCAATCCTCAACAGCGTTTCGTGGTACCTACCGTCACGACCGAGTCTGAAATCTATGCTCATAGAAGTCTTCTGCTGATATTGAATACTCTTTCGCCGGTTGCTTCGTTGTAGTTATTGTAGCTGTCACGTCAGTTGACTCAACCGCGATGCTGCACTTCGACCGCGTCGCGATGTCGTTAGTACCCATCGTTCTTGACACGGACGATCTCCCATGTATTGGCACTGAAAATACTCGATTTGATCTCCTGGTAGATAGGGTTCCTAAGTATCTACTATATACAGATTGCGGATGCACATCGGCATTCCGCGTATTTGATTTTTGTCGAACTCGGATACGTCAAATTCGCCTACATCCTTACCTAGTTTCCTCTATTACACAAATCTACAAAATTTACCAGACGCCTTGTCGATGAGCGACGCGAAGGTCGAGCGTACAATACAGCGAATTGTCATCCCCCGAGCAGGGATTGACCGTGACGCGAGCGCGTCGCTTATCTTCATCGCCACGAAAAATTTATATGATAGATACTACATCGTCATTACTACCGTTTAACCGCTCGCAGCGGTCTGCATAGGTTTCATTCAGCGGACGCGTCCGTGGTAGTGAACGATCTGCATAGAAGACTCTCGGAGACGTTGTGTTCGGAGCAAGCTGCCACTGTGCCCCCCCCCCCCTCTCCGTTTCAAGTGCATGTTTCCGCTCTCTTCCCCGGCAGTCGCCGATGGAGACAATCACTCAATAAGTGGACAATGAAATCTCTCACGCGCTCATTTTTGAAGGAAACTCCTTCCCCTGGGGTCTGCTATCGACCGTGGTTTTTCGACACATCTCGAGCGGTGAAACTTCAGATCAACAACCTAGAAATTGAACTAATTCACCGGAAAATTCGGCGGCTGAGGATGTTGTGATCCGGCCGCATGAAGGTTCTCATCCAGGAACTGCATGATCTGCGCTTGTAACGAAGTGCTCGGGGTGGCGGGCGACATCAACGTCACCGGATGCTGCATGATATTCGTCAACTGTATTGGCCTCTGCCCCATGATTATATGATGTGTGGGCTGGGGTTGGGCGAGAACCTGTGGCGGCGGATTCGAAGCTAATGGTAGTGGCGGTATTTGGCTGTGATGTGACTGAGAACTGTCTTCCGGAATATGAACCATACGACCGATACAATTGTGCTTTTTGCGTTCGGCGTTTCTCTTAAACGACATCCCACACTGCTCGCAGAGGTAAGGTCGATCGGTCGAGTGCGTCTTGCGGTGTACCCCCAACGTCGAGCGATCCTTGAACGCTTTATCGCAAATATCGCAGCGGTACGGCCGCTCGTCGCTGTGCGTCTTCAGATGTCTGACGAGTACGCTCTTCAGTTTGAAACCGGCGCCACAAACTTCGCAGACCCACGATTTCTCGGTCGAGTGCCGAAGAGCTTTGTGATCGTTGAGGATGTGGCGAGCCTTGAAAGCCTTACCACAGATGTCGCACACGTATTGCTCGCCGGAGTGGTGCAATCTCTTATGCTGGGTCAGTCGGGCCTTGATCGGGAAGCCGGCGTTGCATATGTCGCAGAAGAAATCCTTCTGACCGGTATGCAGTTTCATATGATTCCTAAAATTGTGGTTCGTTGCGAATCGACGGTCGCACAGCTGACAGTGGAGCTGCTGTCTCTGTTCGTGGATAAGTACATGAGCGTCGAGGTGGCGTTTCGTGAGACATCCTTTACCGCACATCTCACAGGCAAAAGGTTTGTCCTCCGAATGCATGAACGAATGCATACGGAGTTTCTCCTCCGATCTGAACGACCGGGTGCATTGTGTACATTTGAACTTAGCCGTTCCGTGCATGATAACAACGTGATTCCATAGGGAGACTTTGAAAGCGAACTTCTTCGGACACTGATCGCATTGGATCATCTTGTCGGGATGAGCCTTCCGGACGTGCATTATCAAGTGACGACGATCGGCTTCGAAGTCACAGTATTCACAGTGGGGATCGATTTTCCTCTCGATCGTGGGCCCGTCCTTCTTGCGACGACGATGGGCAGCGATCGATTCGCCGCCATCGTCCTCAGCGCTTTTTCTGCGTCTGCGTCGTTTCTTCATTTTGGTCTCGTCACCAGCGTCGCCGAGGTCAACCACGGGTTTGGGTTTCCGTTTCCTACCTCGACGGCCGGAACCGGAAGTTTCTTTCTTCTTCTTCGCTCGTTCTTTCTTTTTCTTTGCAGGTCTCACAACGCCGTCAGCTGCTTCTGCGAGTTGCATCAACCGGACCGATTCGCTCCAGATGTCGTCGATCGCGCTCTGTCCATCAGCTGGAATAATGTACGGAAGTTAATAGAAAATTACCAAGACCTGCATATTTCCAAGTGTGATATAAAGCCATCATCGAGTTGATGCTCCAGTCAAAAAAAACGGGAGCGCGATCTCGAGGAAAGATGATCGGAAAAATCCGCTTTTCGGACCACAGCGAGGATCGAAATGATTGTAATGGGAAAATCGCCTCGGAGCGATATGATATCTCACCTGCATTCCCGTTAGGGCCCTCAATTTCCTCCTGTTCTTCAGACTCAAGATCAGAGTCCTCGTCCTCTTCCTCTTCTTCCGGATCAGCCTCCTCATCCTCGGACACTTTCCAATCTTCGTCGGAGATTTCTTCCTCTTCCTCTTCTTCGTCATCTTCTTCTTCGAATTCATTTTCCGGATATTCCTCCCCATATTCGTCGTGACTGGTTTCATCCGCGAAACTTGCCGCTCTACGACTGACTTTTTTCGGTGCGACCGGACGATAAGTTCTCTGGACAGGTTTGCGTCTGGGTCTTCGTTTCGTGAAGCCCAGGCCGTTCAGGTAGCAGAAGCGTTTTCCGAATAGAGCGTCGCCATTTTTCCGGGGAAATCTATGCTCGTCGGCTAATTCCAACGGTCTTTCAAAGAAATTCAAAATTGCCGTCCTCCGGTCTCTGATCATCTGCTCGTTAAGCGTAAGAAGGTGATTAATGACGCTCCCAGTGACTTTTTTCATTTCGTTGACTTCAGCTGGATAGTTCTCTAATTGATGCGCTAGATTCAATAAAGGTGTCGAGAGCTTGCGGAGCTCATTCTGGTATGAACCGACTCGCTCATCGATGGCTAACAGGTGCATAGCTGTTCGTTTACGCAGTTCGCCGAACTGCGATTTCATGTACGTTTTCAAAACTTCGGCTACTTCCTCATCCATCCGTGAGGTGACTATGAGACTCTTCAATGGCACTGCCTTCTCCGACTGCTCCAAATACAGTGATTGGGCTTCGGGATTGGTCACGTATCCTCGCAGGAAATCGTCGATAGGGGTTTCAGGCTCTTCTTCCGGTTCTGGAGAGGAAGGAATCTCATCAACCGGCTCCGTTTCGACCATCTCCACTTCCATGAACTCTCCGGGTTGTCTCTGCTGCTCCAATCTAACGACTGCATCCACGGTTTCCTGGAGGACCTGCTGGACTTCGGAACTCACGGAACATAGGGGTTCTACCCCCTCGAGGTAGGACATGTAATTTTGGACAATGGGTGGCGGGCTACCGTTGAAAACGCTTTGGTCGACGATCTGGGTCATGGTGTCGCATTGCTGGACCGGGTTGAGCAGGGGCTCCGCTTGCATGACGTTATTCATGAGAGGATGGCTCATCAAATTTTGATTCAAGGCCTCGGACACCAAATGTGAGTGATTGGTGAGCGAGTGGCTCACCACATTCACCAAATTCGCATTCATCATATTGATGCTGTCCATCTGATTCCGGGAGTCTAGAGGTGGTTCAGGCGCTCGGAAAGTCGCCAATCCGTTGACCATGTCGTTTTCGATTCTGTAGTCATTCATGTCGGCACTTGGGTATCCCAGGACACCGTTGTGGTGGTTCATGGTCATTTCGGCTCTGAGATCGTCTTCTTCCAAAGGAGGAGGCGCGGGAGTCTGCAGAGACTCCTCCTGGACCCCTGTCAAGTCGCGGGGCGAGAGACAGTCCATTGCTGGAAGGAAACGGGTTCTGTGGTCTTAGTACAGCGTTTAGCATGTGGTGGGCCGGAGTGCGAGCGGTAACGAGGTTGTGTAACACTTCTCATCCGAAAGAATTCATGGAGGGAGGATATTTTTTCTCCCCGGGAGCGTTCCCTTACGGATCGCTCAGAACCCGGCAGCGCGCTCGGAGCAAATGAAAAATAGAGGGGGAGTCAAGACTCGAGAATCCAGGGATGAAATTTTCCTAGCGGGAACTTGAGTTCGGCGCTCACGGAGAACTATTGGAGGGACCGATTAGCGCGCCACTGTCTCTCGCGCAGTCTATTCTAGGTCAAGTTCGGCTGTTTTCGGACTTGCAATCTACCGTATGAGGTCTTTTTTTGGGGTCTCATCGGGCAAAGTCCGATGGTGCTCGATTCGAGACTGCGCTCGCAAACGTGACATCTCGAGTGCCATATCTGCTCAACCCTATAATCGGGAGCGCTCCGTTCTACTCCATAAGTTCAATCCTGTCAAAAGTTGGACAGCCTTGGTTTCTCCACGGAAGCTCACGATCTGTGAGAAACAGGATTTTTCCGTTCTTCCAGACTCCATTCGTAAGAACTTCGCTGGAAGACCGCAATCTATTGATACGGATAGCTCGGAGTCCCGCGACGGGCGCGCTCCTACCGTTCCACGCAAGTTTACTCTGTACAGCAACTTTATCTCGACACTCGGATGAGAATCTATTTCCTATTCTGGGACCTCCAGGGTGACGAAGACAACATCGAATTGACTCGAGAGAATGAACTGAGATCATTGACAAGTGTGTCTTCGAATGCTTACCTGTCCGATGTGTCAAAGAACTTGAGCTTCGTTACGGTTCTTCACAGCGCCTGCACCTCGTCACCATTAATGTAGCCAACGCACCGAAACGAGTTTACCGAGTCACCCTCGACGTAGGTCACTCATCTCGAATACGAGATCTAATTAGGAGTTTCGAGTAAATTTCACAAAGCTAAATACAAATCCTAATGGCGTCCCAGCATTAGGCGAAGCCACGCCACCACAGAGCAGCACCCGAGGAGCTCACAGCCATCAATAGAAGCTTCGCTTATACTGCTCGGGGTGCGCGGAGGAGCTGCTCCACAGTGGAACGGCTCCGGCTCCGTTGTCGGCGATACCTCCCGATACCGCACACGACGGGCGACGGCGGCGGAATTTTTTCTACAGCGTAGCCACACAGCGAGAACTGGCCAACCGATGATGCGCACTCGATGGAGTCTCACGGCAGCGATCACGCTCGAGATCCGAGGATTTTTCCATGGGATAACTTGTCATCATCCGTGCGGAAGGTAGAGAGAAAGATGTTTTGGAAGGAGTCTGTTTACAAGATAAAAGAAGATAGATCGACGATCAGGTGTATCATCCGGTTCTCGAGACCAACCCGTACCTGTGGCCGTTCGCCGACACTCGAAATGGAAAAACGGCCACATTTGAAGCATTTCGGTCCCGATATCCACGTCGCGCGTTGGAACCCTCCCAAAAATCCTGGATCCTGGATTCGCGGACGGTTTCCTGCGCGGGATCCCAACCCCAGGTTGCTCGGTGCTCAAAACGAGTTTTCGCGTCCATCAGCCTATTGCTCCTGCTCGGGGTCTCGGAGACCACGGGTTTCCTGGAGTCAAATACGCACCTGGATCGACTCCCGGCCGTCGGAGCATGACATGAGGAGATTTGAAAGGCGTATCGAGCATCGAACCTCTTCGAGAACAATCGAAAACGTAGGTTATCGGAGCTGTCCTCCTCATCCGTCTCTAACTCAATATCGGCCCTTATCGGTTTCCATGGATGCTATCGGGTATCTTCCGTCCGAAAAGCGTGACAAGCAAACTCCCAATCCGGATGGATGAGAGTGACTGAAGTGAGTGTAGAATGAACGCAAGTGAGACAAAGATGAAGGGCAGCTAAGCTTCTATGAGATGAGTTCTTCGAGGCAAGCTGCTCGTGAGCTCCTCTCTTCGCTTCTGCCGGGAGGCCCATCGCTGACTCCGAGCTTATCAGATCCGTCTCCCGATCTATCAGTGAAAGGCCGAGACATCAACACGAAGAGCTCCCGCGCCGGTCCTTCGTGGAATGCGGAAATTCGAGGAATGAATTGGAGCGCACTAGAACTCTGGTTCGCAGAACAGTTCCGCGAGGGCAATTAACGTGGACGACAACGGAACAGTGCTGTGCGCAGACCCCAGGTCTGCCGAGAATCGGAGCTGCGGTTCTGCGCGAACGATTTCAGAGTCACACCTTACTTTTGCACCATGCAGGATGGAGCAATCGACGTTTACCATTCAGGCGCACCCGGAACGTAGACTCGGCTGAAATCAAACCGAGCAGGAACGAATTCGTCCCTAAGCTGAACTTTGTGGCGTTTCTAAAATTTTCAGAGATCCTATCTCAAACTTTGGAGGATACTGCTATCCCCTCGAGATGGGAGCGAAATCTTTCCCGAATTTCGAATCGAATTATTCTTCTTGGGAAAGAGAAAGGCATAATTGAGTGAGACCAGAGTTTTCCTGGGGAGTATCTCCATGTACTCAGAATCGGACCTTGGGAACTCAATATTTCCCATCTATCGATCGCCGGGCTTATGAGTCGCTCCATCGGGGGGAGGGGCAGACTGCGCTCCCCATTGGTGCCGTAGCCTCCATTCAATTAATACGAGCTAATTCAGGGGAAACAATGGGAATGAGGGCCGCCCTGATATTATGATAATTGTGAATTGTTATATCACTGACGGGGAGCTATTGAGCGGCGACCATTCAACCCGCAGCACGGTCTCTGTTGTTACCAGACGTGTTTTGCATCGTTGCCATGCCATCCGGAGTAAACGGCACCTGTCACAGGAAAACCATTCCTGGATCAGATTTCCCTACTCTTTGACACAAAGCCTTTTCGTGCCCAGGCGCCGATAATTTTCTTCATCGGACTGGCCCCCGAGTCCTAATCCCCCTCCCCGAGATCCCGTCGGACTCCTAGACGGAGCTCGTGTCGGCGTCCCGGCAACCTGCCGATTGCAGGAACTCTTTGCCGTTCGGTTCCGAGCTAGCTACATAAACGGGTTTGATCCGGTGACAGCTGATGGCTTATGAAAACACCAAGAAGAGAAGTGGCGAATCATCCAACGCCGAGACGCCAGATGTCGGTCATGAAGTAACGGTTCTGGTTAACAATGAAACAAGCGTCGCATCCCGAGCTAGCACACACGGCCAGCGGAAGAAGAATGCAAATAATCTTCTTCGTGAGCTAAAGAAACCGTCGTTAGGGTCCTGGAAAGTCGCGACGTTTTGATGGATTAGTCAACCGTACTCCGATGCTCCCAATATTCCCGATGCGAAATCCCTCGGAGGAGGAAGGTCCGACTCCGAAGCGCACACCTGTGGGCGATCCCTCCTGTCTCTGGGGATTGGGAAGGACCTGTGACTTGATGAGATGGGAACTTCGATGGACGAATGGTCCCGATCTCGTTATCTGGAGAAGTACCGGGAGCTCCCACCATATGATCAGCTGGGAGCGTAGAAGCCCGGAAAGCCATTGGCTCAGGCCTGGTTTGACACATCGGCCGGACCTCAGATTACGAGCGCACATCCGCTAACCGTACCCGGAACTCCATCATCCGAGTTCTTCACGGGCTCGTTTCCATGAGGAATGGGTCAGTCCGTGAGTCGTGCATTACGATCTCGAGAAAGTCGTCTGAACAATCGATCTCGCGCGCAGCTTGTCCGCGAGTCGGCAAAAGGCAGCGAGCGCTCAGGACGGGCGGGCAAGCGAGGCGGCTAGCCACTCAAACCATTGGACGACAGCCGCATTGGAACTCGCGGAACAGTGCGCCTGCTGCCGTGGCTGGCGGTGTTCACGACCCTCTCTGCCGGACGGCCGTCAGAGCATTCCGTCAGTTGCGGAGATGCGCGCAACCACGTCTGTGCTGTTTTCAGCTTGTGCGCTGTTATTCGTAGAATATTCGTACGGTGATGTGAGATCCAGTCTCCAGAATGTTCCCGAGTGAGTAGAATCAAGAGAAAAGGATTTCCGCAGTCTCTGGATCGATTTCCCCCTCAAGGAGAAGGAGTAATTCTCTGAACCAGCTGTTCGGCGGCTTTTCGCGCTGCGGGTGATAACGGACCGGGCTCTTCTTCCGGGACGGCGGAGCGGGTGGGGACGATCACGTGGAATTCAGTCGCGGTCAACCCGCTGCCCGGGTACTGCCGTCTCGCTTCTGCCATTTTCTGCGCGAGAAATCCCCTGACCCGGGAAGAGTCGGTCTCTTGCCTCAACTTCAGTCACGAGTCGTTGAGCACTCCAAGATAGATGAACTTGTGACCGAAGGAGCTTCTCCCAGTGTTTAACGCTAATTTGGGGTATGACTCCTGAAGCCCGAGCAAAACCCATTTTTGATGAAGCGCCGTGACGTAAGTGTACGTGTATCTGTGTGGCTTCTGCGAGCCAGCGGCTGAAATCAAGGTCAAGCACAAATCGCGGTTAGCAAAGCTAAAATCCACGAAGCGTATCTCTCCTTGCCGTTCTCTTTTGAATTTGCGTGAAGCATCTCTCGCCTAAATTATGATGCTCTTTCCGTTTCCCATCGAGATGACTCGAGTTCCGCCCCCTTTCCGAGAAAAAATGTAGCATCTGAGTGAGACTCGAACCCTTTTTCGTGTTTATCTCCCTCATTCAGTTCCCTGTTTGGGTTGAAGTTCTCGGTCGTCTGACATATGAGCGGGGAAGAGAATACCTAGCTACCAGGGAGGTTCCCCGGGTCATCGACGTTCTGCTCACGGTCAGGCGCTGGGTATTTGCCTTCCGCGTGAGTTTCCTGCCGTTTCCATGGAATCGAAAATAACTCTCAGCTTCCGATACTGCGAGCAGCGTTACTCAACGATTCAAGATCTCCCCATAGCTTTCAGCTGCAATGAT